ATATATATATATATAAAAGTATATATATACATACACACACACATGACACACGCTTCATTGATTATGAAATTATACTTTATTATAATTAATTATATCTATTTAAAATTTTCAACTCTGTCGTTAAATGTTGTCCTCGTATAAAACAATTTATTATGATACTAAATTAAAAGAACTGGGAAGAGGGTTGTTGAAAAAGACTATTACAATAAACAACGAAATTTATTAACTTAAGAATTATGATAGGAGCTGAGCAGATTCGCCGACGTCATTATCTGGGTTGAGGGAAATAACTCGGGATAATTCTCGCGAAAATGAACAAGTCGCTCGTTACACACAAATGGCTTTAATGGCTTTAGGTCTTTTATATCGCTTAATCGAATCTTCCATCACATTTTCCAACATGAATAATATTCTAATGAACAAGATACGATCTAGGTCGGTATTGTTACTTCCGCGTTGCTAATTCCGCAAGTCACAAATTTACGGCATAAGAAATTACCGTCTGACATGTCGCAATTATTTATTTTCTCTTTGCGACATATGTAACTCCTCGGAGTAGAAAATAGGAAACTGTCGACGGAATCTCGACAAGGCGTTCAATTTTGGAAGATGGTTTTTGCGAAGTACATCTATAAGTATTTTGAACATTATTCCTACGGAAAAATGTTCCGTTGTTTTAATGATCAAAATCGATTACACCCAAATAGTACGAAAACAACGCTTCAGCGTAAAAAAGAGTTTGCGATTCAGACTTTCTTTCTTTTTTGGTACAGTTTTCAAATATTGAACTGTAACACAAGCAATTATTGTGTATTATATATAAATATATAATGTGTATTGGCTGATAACTTCGATATTTTTAACAAATTTAGTGATTGACAAATATCACTTCATTAAATATTTATTATAAATTTCCACCTCGATCGTGCATAGTTTATGCATATTTCAATTTTTAACATTTTTAAAGACAGTAATCAAAATTTATATAAACTCCGAGAGTACATATCATAATTATAAATTTTTATAGTCGTCAGATTTTTCATTATCGCGACTTACAATTAATTCTTGTATGTCATCCAACAATTTATTGGATTGTACAATATTATTGCAAACTCCATTCTACATTGATAATTCACATTACGATAGATCCTTCGAAAGTTCACACAAATCACAGCACTTAAGAAACATGTTGGATGAAGTATCGAAGTTCCGTGAAATGTCCCAAACGAGTTGATACGTTTGGGACATTTTGCATATTAAGAAAATAAAACTTTCCTCATTTAAAGTTACGTCACTAAACACAAATATTCTATATATATATGCAAACGTTTGTATAATATGTGCTACACATGTAAATTTCTGCTACCAAATTATTTCTATAAGAATGACATTCATAAAGTCATTGCACAACAACAAATGGAATAAATTTTATTTTACAATTTATCTACAGATCTTATGTATATTATTTGATATACAGTGGCGTAACTACTTTTCATTTAACTAATTTTCAGCTCTTATTGTTAAAGTGATAATGCTCTCTTTTCTATCTTATTTGCAACATTCGAAAAAATAACGCAAAAATATATATTTTAGCTTATATAAACATTTACTTTTAATTTAATCACCAAAAAGATTTACATTTTCATTTTTTGTGAAAATTTTACGCTCTTAATTTTTTTTGCCTCCTAACATTGCAAGCCTTTAAAGGGCTTACTCGCCTTTAGTAATAATTACACCACTGTCCACATAAGATATTTGAGCGCGAAAAGTCATGTTTGGAAAGCAATTTAGCACGATTCTGATCTTTTCGATTTTTTGTATATTTGAATTGGAGTATATCACTGATAATCAACTGATTTTTGCATTATTGATTTTAAATGCGCTGCTCGCATATCTCTCCGTTAAGGCTCTTCGCGGTTTAAAAATGTCGTATAAAAAATATACATGCTGGAAGCATAAGTACGAGTTTCGACCTACGAAGGAACAGAGAAAAATTCTCGCGCCTAAGATTCGATGTGCCGTATCGAATAGCTAGTTCAGCTTTTAACTATTCCCTAAGCGTAATAGATTTCTCATTTTTTTTTTGCTCACTCCCGAGAGCGTAGTCTGGTTGTGAAAGATAATACCCGTTTAACTACGTCAGAAATACGTAATAGTGAATGCCCCTAGTCGGATTTTATTTTTTCGCACACCTTTCCACATGTGTGTACAATAATCGAAAATGAAAAGAAACATAACACGGAAGGATATTAATCACTTCACAATCACTCCACATATTTTTCCAAAAGACTGTTCGTGACAGATATTGAGTAATTAAAGATTAGAGACTGTCTTTAGCAACAAGCGTCTCTCAAATTGACGATTATTAATCATTAATTTTAAATATTTCTGATGCCAATTGAATCTTTACGCAATAATCATTTCCATTTTAACAAAATAATACGAATGCATCATTGAACTATTCGGAGAAGAAAGGCCAATAGAGCTACGATTGCACAGATATTAATGCGGAAATATAATTTTGCCAGTAAATACGATTGCTTCGTTATATGAGAAATTATATGGGAAATTATAACGCGAGTATTCATGAGATCTATATAGATGTTTTGAAACTTTATAGAAATCTATATAGATGTCATGAAACTTTATAGATGTTTTTTTTCTTTTTTTTAAATTCAGTTTGGCATTAAGGAGAATCTGCAGCGGATTGAAAGATTGACAATTATTAAAAGCTAAACATATATTTATTTAAATATTTATTTCTATATCAACATTTACGGGTTTTCTAGTTTTTATAGACCTTTTTTCTTATTTTCGCGAAATCTTTTCTTAAAAAAAATTTTTTTTTTTTTTTTTTTTTTTATTTATTTGTCGATTTGTTGTATCCAAATGGTGCAGTAACAATCAAAGTCATCTTTCATGAATGATTATCGCGACGACAATACTGATAAGAACATACAAACAAATGTTAACAAATATTAATTGTCAGCATGACTCACAGTTTTATCGAAAGTTCCAATAGACATTTGTAAAAACATTTGACTTTGTTAGAAGTTAGAAGTTGTATAATTCTATCAAGTTTAGTACATTACAAATGCTATTTTATGAGATTTTTACTTAAGACTGATTTTGCGGTCTTCGTTTAATTTAATATCATTTGTAATGTATCCAAATTGACAATTGCATACTTTCTCTGCCAAATCTAGTTTGGAAATAAAGTTTGTTGTAAATAGTACAGAAAGTTTGTTGTAAATGGCATAGCTGTCAACCTACTTAAGTCTTTAATAAAATTGTGAATTAAGTTCACAGCTACAAGATGTACAAATTTGACAATTATTCCAATTGGTTCAAAATTAGAATGAAAATAATTTTAAATTAAACTGGTACGATGTATCAATGAAACTTAAATGAGACCAGGTATAATTAGGTTGATCGATTGCATTGTTTGTAAAGCGCTATCATTCTAAGGCGAAGTATTGTGCATATATAGTGTGACTGAAAAGTTAAGAATCGATAGTCGGACAGCATTTTTGGATGAATATGGAGCGAATATTTCTTTAGTAAAAATTGAAAAAAGAAAAGACTTATTTTTGAATATTCAAGAAACTTAATTGTCTTAAGTATCTTCACAGTTACATATTAAATACATATTACACACTAAATAAATGATAAATAAGTAAACTTAAATTGGTAATTTTAAGCAGAAAAGACATGATTATAAGACTTTTATTTCAATCAGCTTTTCATACAAAAATATATGCTTGCATAAAAAAAAGATACCATATAAAGGAAGATTGAATTTCAATTTCAGTTTTGAAATTAAAATATGTATAAAATAAATGATTCGATTTCTATTAATACAAATGTATTAATTAAAATATATTAAAGCAAATGATATGAAAATATGCTAATTAAAAGTTAATTATTTTTTATTACTTACAATTGTGTAGTTAGCATTATTTTGTATATTTAAATATCATTAAAAATGAAATAATAAAATACAAATATAAATGTTATTAAATATGAAATAAGTATTAATTTTGAAATAAAAAGAGTCTCTTTTTTTAGCTGAAACTCAACGCTTTAGTAACAGCCGGCATGCCCTCATGATTAAGCTTATTCTTACCGTTTTTACCGATATTCTTATATGTTCAAGTTGCAAGAAACCAGAAGCTGTTCGTGTATATAATATTTTATATGTTTAGACTGCTGAGAATTATACGAGACACATGCGTGGATAATTTATGCACAATTAGCCATTTGTGCTATTCGTTGTGCAATCACTATTTAATAATATTCGTACAGAAAGGGGATACGAGACTGCATGAATCAAGTTTGAGTTCTGTCGAATAGTTTTAATCAATTGCAAATATACATTATTTGTTAAATTCAAAATTTTCTCCTGATTTGCATAGGGGGCGCTCATTTTCCAGACGACTAACGATTCGGAAAGTTAATATTTGTTTTTTCTATGCTCGATGTGGATTTTATTAAAAGCCAAATTTGAAGACCGTAAGCAGACCTTTATTAAACTTTTCACTGAGGTAATATTGACTCCAGCCTCATCCAATTCGGGTTTGACGACTTATCGATTCCCATTGCCTCGGATTCTCAGCCTGCACTGGTTTTCCTCGGCACAGAGAATATGTTATCCCGCAACGACGCCGCGATGCCGGGATCGACTACATGGTTTCCGCTATGGTTACGCTTCGCCTTGCATATCCCGTATGCGGTCTCCCCCTCCGCCTAACGGAGGAGGCACGATAAAGCTTTATCTCTCCCGCTGATGCGATCCAAAAATATAACGGCAACGCTCTCCTCTAGCCGCGGTCATTTTCCTCTCCTTTCCACCCTGTTGGTATCACTGTCGTGATGACTCAGTTGTTTTTCTACAATCGACAACATCAATTTACATTAGATGATTAGTGTCCTTTCGTCGCGTGTCTTTCCCGATGCGACAACATACATTCTCCGCAATCCGATCATTAGATCGATTTTCAGCAAGAGCGAACCAAGTCCACGATAAATCTGAACCATTTAATCTTAATGCATTTTGCATTCTTTTTTCTTTAAGACTCCTAGTTTCTTGCTGCAATTATATAAATTGTGATGTCAAATGAGAAATCGTATCAAATTCCTTTGTGCATTATATGTCAAAATAAATTTATTTTCTCGCATATTATCACTCACGTTCGATAATACAGATTGGTAAGATAAACTTAAGACTTTACTTTCGATTTGTAGATTAACGAATAACTGTAAATCTTGATCAACTGTTGTTGATAAAAATTCAATATGAATTGAATTGTGTGAACATTTATTCATGTAGGATAGAAAAAGGAATTTTTTATATATTTCATCAATTTATACTGTTGGACGTGAATGACGATATACGCAAAAAATTAAATTTGTAAAGTGTTTTTAAAGACAAACAATGATGAAAACATTAATTTATGTCAACGTATATTTTAACAAAATCTTATATAATTTCTTACTTCTGACATCATAATTAAATATAGTTACAGTGAACAAACAAAAATCTTAATTATCAACTTGCCAAGCTTGTTTTATGTATTATAAAAAATGGAAAAAAAAACGATATATGTAAATACTATAGAAGGATATTAAATGGCAACAGAAACTAAATTCGATAGAAATTTTTTTTAAGGTTAACTCTTTTTGTGATAGATTGGTTTCAAAGCTTTTGAAAATTTTTACCATTTTCAAAAAAGTGATCACTTAAATTCTCTTGTAGTTTTGGAAACACGTATCTTTGCCATTTTTTTTTTTTTTTTTTGGAAATTTTTGTTAACAAAATTACTAATGAGTTTCGTATTACTATTTATCTGATTAAGTATTTTTATTGAGTTTTCTCTGATAAATTATGGATTTAGTTCACACTTGCTTTGTCTCTTAATTGTTGCTTTTACTGTTCTTACTCGAATATTAAGCAACGTTGCAAAAAGATTTTTGATGATTAGGATTCGCGTTAATTGCATTGCTTAGAATTAGTGATGATAACTGTCAGAGAGCCAGTATGTTTCGCTCGTTGTTAATTAGTACGGTTAGTAGCTCTTATTTTCTCATTTAGCACGCGTGTATCTAAGGAAGATCACTGAACCGATGATTAAGTTTTTAACGTGTTTTTCTACAAGGTCTGACCGCAAGATGGAATTTGGATGGGAATTAAGACGTTAATGACGATTCATCAGGATTTATTCAACAAAGGGACGCATTCTTGCAAAGCTTGCATAAGAAAACTTTCATTGCAACTAAAATTGTAGATACAATTACTTTCTTCAAAACGCTGCTTCGATTCAAAAATACTAACAGCCAATAATTTCTTCTTCTCTCTGCTTTCTTCGCGACAAACGCAAGAGATTGGATATGTTGCTGTATGATTAAAAAAATTAAGTACGTACGTTGGTTACTTTCTGCTATGTTTTCTTCTTTTCATTCTTCCATAGAAGCATATACTTCCATGTCTCAGATAATTTGTAATTTACTACGCTAAACACAAGTGGTTAAAAAAAAAAAAAAAAAAAAAATAGGAGAAAGAGGCGCAAGCAAACGAATGCTCGCGTTCTTTGTCGTTTCTCGAATTATTCGCGAGGAAAAATCGAGACGAAGAAGGAGAAAGTGATTAAAACCTCAGTCTTTCGCAATAGAGAATACTCCAACTTTTTCTTGCGAGCACTGATACATAAAACTTTCACGCACGCCTATCTACAGAAGGATTTAAGAGCGATTTCTCGCGGACATCGCAATCTTAAGACTCGTGGAATTGACAACTAAGCGAAGTTACTTCTCCTCTTCATCGCGCTTTGTAAGAGGAAATTAGTTTACAGCCGAGATGATAAAAGGCGCGAGATGCAATTTGCGTCTTTTTTTTTATCCCTGCATCCTCACGGATGAAATGGTCATCCAAAAACGATGACACTGATGAAGAAAAAAAAGCACACGTTGCGACAAGACGGACAGGTTACAAGGACAATCGTATCAAGGTAGTCCTTGGAAACTGTCCGTAATTTTTTTTGTTCTCCTAAAAGTTAGCACACGCACACACTTTTTGCTCGATCGACAGTCATCGATCTCGGCAGAGGAAGGATCCTCTTTTTCTTGGCACTGACACGAGTTTTTCTCGAATTGTCTCCCAAGACACTCTTGAATCAATCGTATCAAAACCGGAAGAAGCTTCGAGCAATATCCACTTATCAGACTTAGAGGGGATGATCCCTTCGTTCCTCTCCATCCTGCCGATTATCCGAAAATAATCTCTCTTAATGTTTCTGAAAACTTAAATGATAGCAGGAACCCATTCTTTCCGCTTTAGCTGTGCCATAATATTGCTGCCGGCTAGAGTTTGGTTTCGCGTGGAAGATCAGGTAGACTGTTGCAAGGTACTAGAAGTCCCAAGGTTTCCGGGAGATTTTTCCGGAATTCTTTCCCCAAGACGTCCGTACCGGTGGAGCCCTTGAAGATCGGTTTCCTGCTCTCGTAGTGGTGGTTGCACATGGACGATGTACTGCCGTACTCATCGATACATTGCAGTATTTTCGAGGCAGGCAATATCGGAGGATGTCCAAATGGCGGCAATGGTGGGCCGCTCTCTTCGATGTAGTTGATGTGAATGCCCTCTGGTATGTTCGAGCCATGCGGGCTGGCCGACGACAACTCGGTCGGTGTGTAATACTCGCTATTGACGTCCTCCAAGCTCACCCCGGCCGCTAGATCGTCGATCTTCGCCTTGAAATACGTGTCCATGCTGTCAATATCCTTGGCAGGATCGAACACCATAGAATCACTCTTGCCGCACGAGCCGCTCCGGCAATTGTCGAAGTACAGATTCGGCAAATTCTCCAACACCTTGGCCAGCGTCTGCTGCTGGTACTTGTAACTCTCGCGCAGTCGTAACACCTGGTGAGCACTGAACTTGCGGATCTTGTTCCGTTGGAAGACATAATTTTCGCGCACCCAGTTCAGCTGGCTGGTGGAGTAGTCCCGCACTCGTTTCACCTGCGGAGAAATGAAAAAAAAAAAAAATAGACGTGGCTAGATACGTATCTGTTGCACATGCAGTGATATCTTTCGTTATCTCGTTATTGCAACGATTTATTTCCGCTATACGACTTTGGACTTTATCTCTCATATTCTTGATGAAAAAATGATTTCTTGAGACGCAGATCAAAGATACACGGACTTTGCACGATATTATTCACTCACGTTGCAATTTTGCGCATTGAGCGAATATCACATAGATCAGATAAGATGCGACGAGACAAAGGAAGAATCGAGCTTAATTGCGAAGAACGCAGTTGCGCGCGGAAACTCCCGCACATTATCGTACCTGATCGTAATACTGATCTCTCAGCGCTGTCAGGTGGCTGGTGCCGTAGTCCCGTATGTCTCGTATATGCTGCATTTGGCCCTCATAACTGTCGCGTATCCACTCCACTTGCTGGACGCAGTTGTCCTTAATTCTGTGCACCTGCTGCGTGTAGTTCTCCCTTAGCCTTTCGAGCTGCTGGCTCTTGTACTGTTCGATGTTATCGAGCATCTGATAGATCTGCTTCGCTCGTGGCGTCACTCCCACGCGTCTGCAGCACGAGCACCATTTGATGCATCCGCACCTGCGAAAAGATTCGGGAAAACGTTAGCGAGATCGGTGAAAGGGAAGATGCAAAGTGCGCCGGAATCGTCAGGTGGAGTTATCGATCGCGCTTGACCTTCCGGCGAGTTGTTCGCTCTATCGTCGAAAGTTGACGAGTCGTTACCGTCACTCGAACTGTTAACAACTATCTATTGACTGATGATATTATTAGCCGCGTTGTCGCGTTCGATACAATTATACGAAATGCAAGGTATATATTCTCAACTATTTCATCGCCGATACTTACTTGACGAAGAGATACCGCAGCAGTTGGATCGACAGCGTCAGCAAGAGAAACGCCGTGGCGCAGATCGCGCCGACGAGGATACTGAAGATCTTGATATTGTGCAAAGTTACCGGATCCATGTGCAGCGTTACGTAGACGGTTTCGTTGGCGATCGGATTGACCGCTGTGCATTTGTACTTGCCCACGTCCTGCCGCAGCAGCGTTTCGATGTACAGAGAACCATTCTCCAAAACGCGTATGCGACCGTCATCGATGACCGGCTGATCGGACAGCCAGCTGTGGATATGTGGATGATCGACGAAAGCGTCTGGGAAGCCCGGATCCGGCGTCCAGTGGAGAACCAGGCCACTCGGAGTGACCCAGGTCAAAGAGGGCGCCGGATTTCCGCCGAATTCGCATTCCAACATCACCGAACTTAAGAGGAGATATTGCTGGGTGCTGGTGCTCCGCATTAGAGTCGGCGGACTGCATTTGAGGTACTCTAATGTCATCAGGGTGTCCACGGTGCCGTCCACCTCGCGACCGCATTTGAACCCGCTCCGAAAGGCCGCTCGTAAATGCATACTGCTCTCCGCCCACTTGACAAACCAGAACATACGACAATCGCAAGCCCACGGATTTCCCTGCAGCTGCAATTCGTTCAACAACGGTAGATACGCCACGTTCGCCGGCAGGAAAGCCAGGTTGTTGTAGCGCAGGTCGATTCTACGCAGAGACGGTGTCTCGTTCAATGCCAGCTGGCCGATCTCTCGCAACGAACTGTTTCGGATCTCCAAAGTCTCCAGCTCGGACAGATCCGCAAGATTCTTGTTCCGTAGGTTCTCCAGTTTGGTTCCGGATAACAGAAGAGTTCTCAGCTTGCGGACGGGCCGCCAGATATTCGCGGGCAGCGACGAGATCTGCAGATGACTTAGATCGAGCCACTGTAAATTGGCGAGGCCTTGAAACGCGGTGTCTGTGAGACGCCCGATTGGATTATTCTCCAGTTTGAGATACTCCAAGGCCCCGAGATCGTTAAAGAGGCCGCGCGGCAACGCATCAATCTCATTATTGGCGAGATCGAGCACCCTCAATTGAGTCAAGTCGGAGAAGAGCCGCGACGGCAACTTCGTTAACCGATTTCTGGCCAACCATAGTTTTTGCAGTTGCCGGTTTGGCCGGAAGCTGTGATCCTGCAGCGAGACCAACAGGTTACCGTTGAGATTGAGCTGCGTGAGCTCCTTGACGGGCGCAAACACCTGATAGGGCAGTACGGAGAGCACATTCCCCGCCAAATAAATTTCCCGGAGACGGTCCAGGCCGTGGAACAACAGCTCCGGCAACGCGGCCAGCCGGTTCCCCGTGAGGTTCAGGTACTGGAGTTGGTGCAACGGATGGAAGACGTCCGACGGCAGCTTCGCCAGCCGGTTATCACCTAGGTCGAGTCGCTCGAGCAGCGCGGTGGCGCGGAACACGCCGGGCTCCACGCTCTCGATGCCGCTCGATGCCCAGACCAGATTTCGCAATTTCACGGACGCTTCCAGAGCGGCCACCGGAATCGCGGCCGCTTGTACATCTCTCAGCGACACGTTCGCAACGTCCCTTGGCAGACCGAGACCGAGAAAACTTCGTTCCGTACACACGAGACTGCTGCCGTGCTCGCTGCTCGCGCACTCGCACCCACCGGGACATTCTATCCGCGACAAGGCCGATGTGGTGATAAACGACGACGGGATCTTGGCCGACGACACCGAAGTGTACGAAGGCGCACCCGCAACCCGCACCACCGCTACCACCGCGAGCAGAAAGACCAACCACCTCGAGCAGCGCGGACCACCTCCCCTCGCCACCCGCTCCCGCATTCCTAAGACCTGCAATGTGATGATATTCACGGATACAGCGATCTCCCATGTCCTGATAGGTGGGCCTCCGCGCGAGGTACTTCTTCAAGCGAGTCGTCTACGACCGCGCTTTCCGTCTTTCACCGCGTCGACTTTCCGGACTATCGACCAAACTAGAGGATAAAAATACTAGTTACTATTATCGGACTTTGCTCTTTCTTTCGCGCTTTACAACTCGGGTGGTAGTTTTGCTATATCGACCATTCGACCACGTGTTCGCAAAAACCGTCGTCACGTTCGCCCTTTTAAGCTTTTAAAATCCTCTCTAAGAGACCCCCGGTAAATCTCGCTCTTTCCGTTCTATTGTCTACCTACCGAGAATACGCGGTGTTCCCCGCAGGTTATCCTGTATATTTCGCTCCGAAACATAAAGCAGTAGCACAGAAAGGAGAAGAGGATCCGTTGAAGGGTTCTAACCGTTCGCGAGGAATCCGACGCGTTGCCTCACGACGACGGGCGTGTCAGGGAGCCTCCTAACGTCGCCAACGGCGGTTGATGCTGACGGTAGTGGCGGATGAGACAACGTGCAAATGGTATTCGCAGCGTATCGTTGTCCGTCGGTGCCGTCGTCGCCGCGTCGCGCCAGCGGCATAATTATGCCCCACCGATTCCGTGTTGTATCGCACCGGTGTCGAGGATGAGCACCGAAATCGCGGGGGAGGGGGGGAATATTTCAATTCACCGCGATGTTAAATCAACAAACTCACGCACGCATATATGAAGAACGCGAGAGCGCTTTATTTCGCTTTCCTTTCCTCTGTTTTTCTCTCTCTCTTTATCCGTCTGGTCGCAACTGTTCTCGTCTCTATTCCGTGCAGCAACGCCGCGGCGCGCACTACTTGTCACGCGTGTCACATGACACGCTCGTGCATATCGCGCTCCGGCGGTCGACTGCGCCGCCCGTTGCGCGTCAGAAGCAAAAACCGACTGTTGGAGCGGAGCTCCGGCCACGGCTCTACCGCGGGATACTCTCCTCGTGGTGACCGCCGGTTTGAGCAAACTGGCAACACCGCCCGACTTCCCCAGTCGTCGGCGCCGACGCAGATCTCACCGGCACCTCTCTGCGAGAAGCGACCGGGGTGAAAGAGAGAGAGAGGAAGAAGGGGCTGACACCGGGCGTAAGAGAGAGACGGAGAAGAGGGAAAGCTGAAGAGTGAGAGAGGGAGAATCGCTGTGAAAGAGCAGCTCGACGAAAGGCAGGGACGAAGTAAGGGGGGGGGGGAAATGTAGAAGGCAGCCCCTCGGCAACGGCCGTGTCGAATGCCTGGTGAGAGTTTGGGATATCTCGCCGACCGTTCTATCCGATACATCGAATGCCCTCCGAGACGCGCGTCCTACTCACTTAACGTGGCAATTAAATCTATTTAAATGTCGTCCGGCGTGTTGTTTTGCGAAATACCTTTCCATAGCTGTTCCTGTTCTGTCGGACATTACTGAATCGCATACTTTGGCTTGAAGGCTTGACTTCGATTACCAGTCTAAGATAGCTTCAAGTTCATTGCCAAATTCGTTGCTAAATGTCAGCATTTGCCAGGTCATCGCGTGGATGTGATTTTAAGAGCACAGTTGCGTTTTGATAATTTCAATTCGTATTTATTGGCGACGTTCCCCCTGCAATATTTCCGAAAAAAAAAAAGATACGCGTAAAGCATATGTTTACAATCAGAGTTTAAACAAATCTGACATCTTTAGAAATTATGTATAACAAATCTATAATCTATATCTCTATATATAGGAGGAGTCCTATTTCTTCTCTACAAATAGAATTTTACAAATAAGTACACAGGATTATGAATAGAACTTCTCTGAGACTTGTCTAGAACAAGTCGGAATCAAGAAAGCTTTTGTTCCCAGTTGGGTCATAAATAGTGTCTTCTCTCTCTAGGTAAAGGCGTAAAATCATAAATAGTACTTCTAGAAGTCATGTATAATGTGGAACAAGTCTAGAATCAAGGGAGGTTTCTCGCGTAGGATTATAAATAATACTACAGAGACAGTAATCGTATCTTGCACGGAATATTTTACGTCAACCAGCCTGTTTTTCGAAATGAAGATAGTGCAACGAGATACGACTGTCACGTTCGACGTGGCTTGGAGATAAAGCGATAAAAAGCATTTCGTCAATCGCTGTGCCGAACGATACGTATTCGGCCTCCAGTCCGTAGAAAGAGACCTTAAACTTTGATTCCCGCTAATGGAACCCATCGTGTAGACGGTAGAATTTCACGAGCATCCGGGCCAGAGAGCGCTCTCACGCTCGCTCGTGTTTAATCAGATCCATTTCGCCGCGATGCCTCAACGTCTACAGCTGTCGTATAGATTTTTCTAGAAAGTATAATTTTTCGACGAGTCAATTATGCTATAGAAGATTTATAACAGTTGATAATTTAATAATAGGACTATAATGTGCAGTTATAGTCAAGCTGGAATTGGTATCATAGAGCCATCTTAATTTATATTAATTTATATAGAATTTCAAACGGATGATATAGATAGTAGAAATATGCAGAGAGTATAGAATTGTAGAGATACACACAGAGCTACTTTTTAGAAACAAACTCGAGTTTCTAACAATAATTATGCCCATTGCATTTACAAGCATTTATTGTAGCGTTGTTTAAGAAGTAATAAGACATTGCATTCCGAATGCATTGCTATCTCGAAGTGTCTGATATATATGCATGTGTTACGAACGTAAACAGACATTGAAAGACGTTAGTAGCACACATAGATTAAGAAGTATAATATGTTCTAACCGCGAGACAAAGTGCGACTTCTTATCGCCGTAATTTGCGTTGTCGGATACATCAACTATGGACTATTGCGACGTAACTTCGTTGCCTGAAATAAAATCACGGTGACGCAAGCGAGAAATACACGTGTTTTCACTTTTACTTTAGTATCAAGCACTGCTATATTTTTCTGCTGAATTCGTTGGTTCCTTTACGATTTTACTTTGTGCACTTTGCCTCTTTTCCTTGTTTTATGAACAGAATTTTCGACTGCATCATTGTGCAAGAATTTGTTCATAAAATTTGCAAAGTATTTTTGGATATCCCCTATATAGCTGTTAATACGTGTTCCCTACCGTTTCGTTTGATTTCCGCCCGAATGCGGAAAGCATATCGTGGCGCATTCGAACGATATACGAGGGATGGAAGCGTGTATCCCTTAGGTCTCCATCGTGCCATATCGATCCATGACCTAACTTTGTTCTTTCGCCAGCAATACACGAGCCATTTAGAGTCGAATCGGATACATCGCTCAACGCTGTTTTCGAGCTCAGACCAAGGATCGGGATAAGCTAGGATTTGTTTCGGCAAAATTGAATTTGAGTTTCCAGCAATTCTGAAGCACATAATGTGACAAAAATATGAAATAAAAAGGATCTACATATTTAATTATTAAAAAATAATTGAGTAATTCTTGTAAAACTGTTCGTTTGCGTTAGAGTAATAGTAATCCTTTATTCCGCGATAACAATATACAATTATGTAACGCGACGCGTAATTGCAAACAGTCGATTCAATTGCGTAGACCGTAATGCATGTATATATATGGCTTGTTTGGAAACCGTAACGACTCGTTAATTGCGCGCAATAGTAACGCGCGAGGAAAACAATTTCGCGGCCGAACCAATGAAACGAAATGTTGTAGCCACGCTATGTGATACACTTTACGAGCGTAACGTTGCTTATTGCGCGAATCAGAAGCAACCATTTGTCAATAACTCCGGAGCCACCGCGATTCCTATGTTTGCCCGTGAATGGTTTATCTTTCGTACCAGGCACGCCTCGCAAATAATCGAAGCTATTCGTTCCGTTAATAGATTCACCTCCATCGCCAGTGCATAACGAAGGTCAATAATCCGATAAAACTATTTGTGTCGGATGAAGAATTCGCGATAGCACGCGTTATTGGAACATCGATCGTCCTTACGCAAGTCGTGAGGGCGTGTTCGTCAAACAACGTGCCATGTATGTTATGTTAACAAACAAAAAATATCATGCAAACACAATCACGTTTAATTTCAGTTTTCGCAAAGCTATGGCTGTTACTAAAAATCAATGATATTTTACTGCAATATTTTTCAATAGGAAGATTGGAAATAAAAGTATATTTCATTCCGCGAGCACACGATATTTTATCTGTATTTACATTTCAATATATATTTTAATTCAATATTAAATTTATGTTTTTATATTGTAATTTAATATTAATAATTCATTTATTTTTAATATTGTTCTTCAAAATTCTAGTAAAATGTGACGATAATTTTCCCATGTTAACAGCAATTATACGGAAAGTTTTTCTGTTGTCACTGCGTAATAATCTGCATAACAATATAGCTTGTGTTTCAAAAACGCATTTACCTGACGCAAATTATCGCGATTCAGCTCGAAATATTTGCGAAAGATATTATATTGTTGACTTGACTGTGCAACTGCAAGATTTTCTGGTTTAGATCTGCTATTGATTTCCATTTCTTATTTTTTTTTATTTTGCATCAGTGGGATTATTTTACGCGACGAGCGAGCTTTTCACATTCGTTCGTTAGTACATCCTTTACAAATCCTGGATCACGTAATTCCATGTAAAAGTTATATTCAAACGTTGTTTAAAATCTAAAAAAATATTTTATTTTGTACTTTTAATTCACATGTGTTACAAACGTGAAAACAATTACGAACGCAGGTTGTTGATATCAAAATTTAATAGCACATTAATTACATTCCACTTTAAATTCAGGCCTCATAATATCCGTAATGTGACCTACACCATTTTCAAGATAAATGCTTCATGTGCGTGTAACCATCTTCATCAAATATGTAACGGCGCTCTCGTAGATTAATACGTGACGTTTGTGGGAGAGAATTAATGGGCAACCTTCGACCTATTGCAGCGCAGAAAAGATGAGTCGTTCAAGTTTAATGGACTTGTCCGTATTATTACTTATTTCGCATTTTCGATTGGCATCGTTGATTACACGTACCGGTATCATTCAATGTTATTTGTAAAAACAGCTATTATTAATTGCAGTAGATGAAGAACAATTTTCTACAATCGAGTCTTTCAATTTTGAACAGAACTTGATTTCAAAAATATGTTTGATCGCTTTTTTTTTCATGAATAACACAAATAATATTGGAAAATGTTACATTACGTATTCTGTGACGATTTGAATCTAGTTATTTGTGCAATTTCAGAATATTTTTCTCAAGAAATTCTCATGAGACGTTACTTATTTCGGAATTATTTACTTCTTTCCAATATTTGAAGAAAATATTTCATATTTCAAGAGATTGTTTCTCTCGGCATATTTTTCTTTCGGCACTTCACAAGTCCATCTTGTAAATATTCTAAAGAGGGGAAAGGACTTTGAGATATCCGGCTGACACACCTGCTGCTCACTTGTCTAAACTGTCACGCGCGCTTATTCGCCGATATGGCCTTGGGCGTCGACCGTCGTCGTCGCCCTCGTCGTCGCCCTCGTCGTTGACGACGTACAATTTCGAGTGCACTATGATCTATAAAAGCGATTCTGTGAACGACTTTAAACAGCCGGGCAAGACATGCCGACGCAAAAGAAACTCACATCGAGTAGACATCGGCGAGACGCTGCCGTCAACGATGTGATGCATTAAAAACAAAACTTGTACGCAAAGAATATTAATAATCTACAAATAGTGGAGTTACATAATAATTTGTAAAATTAGTAACACTAATAATGCATTCACAATCGTCGCTTTCGAGAATATCGTGAAAATAATCTTTGATCGACAATCGTTGTATTTTATTTCGTCAATACATTCTATCATTACTTATTTATTACTACGTCGAAATTTTGGAAAATTTGAAGAAAGCCCAATTAAGATTGACAAATTGAAGATTACCATTAACACTTTATCCGCTTGTAAAGATCCTGTTTCCTGCTATGGAACTGAAATTTAAGAAGGGTTGAAGGATGTCAGCCGAAC